GACCGAGGTCACAGTTTTATTTTTCATCACTATATGGACTGACCCTAAGCTGGTAAACTACAACTTATTTCGTTCACCTCCCCCTCCCCACCCCCTCTCTCTCGAGTAAAAAAGAAATCCGGTATAGAAAAAAAATGAAAGCGTTACCATGACCGTGGCTAGAGATAGGAAAATCCGGACCAAGCTAACAATAAATCAGGTAGCATTCATTACCTTGAATAAAAATAGTTTATTGCTATATGGCTAACTCTGTGAGCAGGCAAGATGAACCAAACCCTGCACTGTGATTGGCTACCTGAGTGGGCAAGATGCCACTGTGCCCCGCAAGAAAAATTTATCCCAAGCCAAAGTAGAAGCCATATAGTAATTCCTTTATTGACCAAGTGTTTGGTCAAGATGGATGGATATTGGCCTGGTTCATTTTTGCATGTTTATGAACCTCGACATCTTGACCTCATGCTTGATCAATAACCCATATTTATTACCAGTATATGACTTGTTTTTTTAGCTGGTATAACGCGTGCTCTGATTCGCTAATTCTACTGCATTTTACCGCCGTAATGCCCACGTGTGCATTCCGCGCCTGCAAAACCAATTGAGAAAGCCATATAATAACAACTTATTAACTTCGAACGTTCGGTCTTTATGGAAAAATCTCAAACCTCAGCCTTGTCGCATTGACCTCACTATCGCTCTGTCAATACTGCAAAGTCTCGGTTTGAGATTTTGCAGTAAAGACCTCACTCTCGGTTAATAAGTAGTTATTATCACCACCGAGACACTCATGACTCTCATGTGACCTTGGTTTCCAAGGTGTCGTAACAGCAGGGGAGAGACTTGGAATGAGATCGAAACTCTCTAAACCAGTTTCAGAACCGGTTGGTGCAAAGTGTAAGAATGGCCAATTGAACACTACTATGCATACCAGAGTAATGCCTAAAAACTATATGGTGGAACACCTATTAAGCAGCCACCTATTGAACGGCCACCCCTATTAGGTGGCCAGTAATCAAAGTCCCGATGAGGGCTTTTCTATTGTATTTTACCCTATTTTATACTGTATTTAATATTACCCTTTTAAGTTGAACTGTTGTTTATTATCATAAC